CAGAATATCTTCAAAATCTGACATGAATGGTCACAGATAAACTCTCCTCATGTTGAGGCCACAATGATTGTGATCTGTCAGAAGCTGCATGCTCCCTCTCAACACCCTGCCCCCACAGTTCTTGTCCCCTCTTATGCTCTATAAGATTGCATCCTTTGAATCGCCTTCTTCCACAATTTTCATTCCCTCGGTGATCCAGTTCAATGAACCCTTGATTTAAGTATCTAATTTTCTCCAGGATCCATAGACTGCCCACGGGTATGCAGCCTGACTGTAATGCCCAAATCTCCAAGACTGAACATGACTGATCTCCAAGGGTGACATGACAGGACAGTCCAGACTGAGAACAGCCCAGACCCTGGACAGCTTGGACAGGGATCCTCAAATCTGTGTAGAACCAAACATCTCACTGACCATAGTCAACTGGCTGGACCAAGATCAAACAAATCCCTGACCAACTGTGGTGTCATGTTTTGACTGACCATAGTCCTCCTTCACCTACTAAGGATGGGTCTCTATTGACATTGAGACATTACCATTTGGTTGAACATGTGCAGTGTGTTTGCCACATAGGCTGCTGGTGCACACTGTCGATGTGATATTGATGTAGCCCAGTGCTGTACAGCAACATGTCCATCTCCTTGGCTGTTCATTGCACTGGACAGTCACAAGTTGCCAGTTTCTCCATCTGTGCTAAACAGCAATGCAAGAAACAGAGGCTAACAGCTTATATGCTTGGATTAAACAGCCTTTAAAAAGCAATGCAATCCAGAAAGCCTGACAGCCTCCAAGTTAGTGCAATGTGAGTGAGCATTCAGAAAGTCAAGCTATGAACTATAAAGGGCTTCCGATCTAGATGCATGTATGTGTCTATATGCAAAGCAAGCTGGCAGAAGTAAGCAAGGCAGAAGTGTCCTTTAGCTTAACATGATGATGTGGTGAGGCTGGTGGTTTACCGATGCTCATTTACGTGTGTGAAGAATTGAAGAAGACAGGATCATGCAGGGAAATGGTGGTAACTGCGGAGTTGGATGTACATCCAGGAAAGCAAGCAGACAGTTGTGATGTCGGATAACTGCTCTTAAGTGCATGTCAGGCATTGGTGCTGTCTAGTTTCTCAGGAACGGAGGACAGAATTGGGAGCTGCACAGAGATGAGGTGAGATTAGTTATTAATGAGATGTAAATACATGGAAATAAGATGGCTGTCACTCATTGGTGAGATTCAGAACTTGCTGTTTGGTCTCTAAGGGGAAAGTCAGGTTTCTTTTGTCTTGACGTCAGGAAATTTGCTTCTTTTCATCCTTACCATATATTCCTAACAATACCTCCATTGCCCATGCTGCTGAAGGAAAATTTAATTCCTGCTATTGTTCTGTCATGGGAATTGCAAGACTCTCACTTCAGTGATACCAGAACTGAAAGGTTCTAATTATTGGTGAAGGTTGAAGGACCTTCTTTAATAGAATACAGAAAGTTGAAGGGTGATCTAATAGAGATCTCCAAAATTATGAGGCGATTTGACAGGGTAGATGCCAGGGGGAAGATAACCACTCTTGAGGAGCACATATATAGGACAGTCACAAATAAATCCAATCGGTAATTCAAGGAGAAAAAATAACTCCTTGAATTTAACAAGGGAGTATTCAGAATGTGGAAATCATTACCACGAAATATTTGAAGTAAATAGTAGGTATGAATTTAAGGAACGGCTAAACAAGTACATAAAGGGGCAAAGTGTATGCAAATAGGCTAAAGGAAGGTGAACGGAGGACCAAGTAGAGTGAAATGGATCAGTTGGGCTGAATGTTTGCTTAATCATTTCAGTATCTATTTGATCTTTCAATGTGTAACAACTTATATCTATATAGCATTTTGAGTGTGATAACATGACCCAAGATTCTTTACAAGACTGCTAGTAAAGCAAAATTACACACTTGGCCAACCACATAAGGTGTTATTCGGGTGGCCAAAACAGTGGTGAAAGAGGCAAGTTTTAGGGAAAGAAGAGAGATTGAGAGGTAGAATTTTTGGGGGGTGTGTGTGTGATGAGATGAATTCTAGACTCAATCTAAAATATATAATAAGTTTTGATTACTGTTCACCAGCTTAGGTCCATTTTGCAGCAGTCAGATGGAGCTAAGTTCTATGCTAGGGGCACCTGAGGTAAAAGAAAATTTGAAATGTGGTTCTTTCAGTACTTGAGAAAAAATGAATAAAAAGCTAAATTTTTAAAGCTGTTTCTTTATTTTGCTTCCATTTATATTTAAGTCTTACAGTAAAATCTTAATACTGGTTGGAAAGATCTGGAATTTATGATGGGTAACCCAAACTACTTTCAACCAATATCTCAATGGTACAAAGACAGATTGTCAGATTATTAACTAAAACATTTTATCAGGATCACTCATGGCCATGTTAAGTTTAATTTGATAGGATACTGGGTGAGCTTATGGAAGTTTATTTTAATTATTGCGCCCAAAGCAGTCTAAAGCACTATGATCAATGAATACTGGACGTACTACTTGAGTTAGAGATAGTAGGAACTGCAGATGCTGGAGAATCCGAGACAACAAGGTGCAGGGCTGGATGAACACAGCAGGCCAAGCAGCATCATAGGAGCAGAAAGGCTGACGTTTCGGGCCTAGACCCTGAAACGTCAGCCTTTCTGCTCCTATGATACTACTTGAGTTGACTGTTTGATTTCAAATCAAGACTGCAAAATTTCTGCCTGTTATTTAATCAGAGTAGAAATTACTGACATTTTAAAAGTCCTACTATATTGTTAATTAATGCCAATGGCTTATGACACTCATAATGTTCTATTTCATATAGTTTGTCCATTAGATGTTGCAGATCACACAGCGTCTGTGGATAAAGAAGCTGAGTTCAACATGATGCAGATTATTGTTTATTTGTTTGTTTTATTTGAAACAGTTACAACGATATTTGTATACGTTGCCCCATTTGTTTTGTTTGCTTAATTAAGTTTCTGACTTTAAAAACAAGAATCTGTATCCAGTGTTCAGATGACTGGAAGGCCAGATGTGTTTGTCGACACTTGTAAATTTCAATTCCTGTAAATACTTCAAACTGTTGTTATAATTTGAAATTCACCATTAATGCTTTTTAAAATATTGATGAAGTGATTATGTTTACCTGGAGATCTTGTAAATATTGGATTTATTTTTCAATTTTAGGTAATTAGTGAGAAATTTCCAAACATTTTTGATTTACTTTTCCATTGACTACAGCACTTGAGCGCAGGTTCTGTCACTCTGCTCCCTCCGAGCAAGGGTTGGACTGGGAGTGTGGGATTGAAGAATTACCATAAACACATTTCTTGTTTCTGGCAACAGATCAAATCCCAAACCAATGTTAAATTCATTGTATCCAAGTTAGATAAATTTATCCACTTAAACCTTGTTGTGTCTTATATATATTTTAAAGCATGCTAAATATATTGTGTAGATCTTAGTTTTTGTTGATCCTCCAGCATCCATTTAATTGAGATTTATTTCTCAGATTAATTTTAATCTTCTCCCTACCCCACCTCTCCTGCAGGAACTAACTTCTTCCTGGGCACAGTTACAAAGCATTTCATGGTTATTATTAAGAACACAAGAAATATGAGCAGGAATAGGCCATTCAGCTTTTCGTCCTGTCCCATCAATCAATAACACCTTGATTGATTTTCTATCTCAAAACAAATTTCCTCCTTGATGCCACTAGTGACTGAAAATCTATTGACCTCAGCTTTGAACAGACTCAATGACAATGCATCTACAACCCTCTGGGTAGAGAATTTCAAAGACTCTCAACCAACTGAGTAAAAAGAAATCTCTTTGTGAGCCCAGAGAATTTCTGCACTGTACTGAAAGTTGCAGTCAAATTCATAGAATGGTTACAGCACAGAAAGAGGCTATTCAGCCTGTTGTGGCCATGCTAGCTTTCTGTGCGAATTTCTCAGTTCGTTCCACTTCCTGTCTTCCCCCCCCAGTTCATTTTGTTTTTCAGATAATCGCCCAATTCTTTTTTTGGAAAGCCACAATTATATCTGCTTCCAATACGCTCACAATCTAGGCTCACAAGCCAGCACAATCTAGATCCTAACCATTGGCTGCTTTAAAACAGGTCAAAAACAGCTACGAAAACAAGTCACCATTGCTTCTTTTGTCAATCGCCTTTCAATCAATGTCTAGTTTTTGACTCTTCTGCTTACAGGAACAGTTTCTATCCTGCCTAAACCTCTTGTAATTTTGAGCATCTCTATCAAATCTCTTCTCGACAGTGAGGAGCCCCATCTTGGCCACTTTATCCACAGAACAAAGGTCCCTCATTCCGAGAATCATTTTCTGGTAATTTTATTCCTGCACAATCTCTGGCTACGTCTTTTCTGTCATGCTGTACAATACAACACAGTAGCCCAGGTGAGATCAAGCCAGTGTTTTATGACAGCAAAATAGCGCAGACACTCCTGGGAATGTAGTTTGCACAAAGAGGCTGCTGCAGGTCTTGACAGTCTCTCCGTGGAGAGAGTAAAACTAAAAAACAAAAAAGTTAACCAGTAAAACACAGAACTGTGGATGCTGGAAATCTGAAACAAAAGCACAAAATTGCTGGAGAAACTCAGCAGGTCTAGCAGCACTTCTGTGGAAGGAGACAGAGCCAAACGTTTCTGGGCCTGTTTTTGTTGCAAAAGAGTTATCGTTTTAGAAAGTGGAGAAGCACTTTTTTTGTTTCTTTTCGTTAAAATGTGATGCTTTAGGGAGCAGGCTTGTTGATTCGTTATGTGGACAGTGTAAGCTGCCTGCAGAGGAATCTCCGGAAAAAAAAACTGCACATGCTGTAAATCAGAAACAAAAGCCGAAATTGCTGGAAAATATCAGCAAGTCTGACACCATCTGTGGAGAGGAATCAGAGTTAACGTTTCAGGTCTAGTGACCTTTCCTCAGTTCCAGCACTTTCTGTCTATGTTGCAGTGGAAGCGCTCTGTGGGTGACTGTCATGTGACTCTGCCTCGGGAGAGTCAGCTGACAGCTGGGAGTCACGTGTCTGGCCGGCGCGGTGACGTGATTTCCGGTGTGTCTGGGAGTCCCGGATCTACCGGACGACAGAGGACCGCGAGCAGCAGTGGGGTAAGTGTCGGGGACATGGCGGCGGAGGCTGAGATTTGCTTGGTTCCCCCGGGCCTTTTCTCTCTCTCTGTTGCGACTTTATTATCAGTAAACGGCCGATGGGATTGTCCTCTACTTTCACCGCCTTTGGGGTTCCCAATACAATAATAATAACAAGGACCAGGGAGGAAGCAGCACAGTGCGCGACGACGGCAGGACAGGGACCCTGGCAGTGGGTACAGTACTGGCTTTGGCCTAGTCACCACTGTTCATCACCCCCCGCCCTCACCTTACACTGACAAACGCCGCCGCCACCACCACCACCATCTCCCCTCTCCCGAACCTGCTACACCTCTCCTCCATTCCCCCAATACCGCTGCCCCACCTTCACTTGCTACCCGCTCCACTGCCACTCCTCACCCCATCTCCACCAAACTGCACCAATCCTCCTGCCCCTGAACCTCCAACTCTGCTGCGCCTGACTTCCCCACTTCTTTCACCTGCCACCTCCACTTGCTAGTCCCCACCTCCCCCTGCACTCTTCCTGCCCCCTTGTTGCCACTGCTGGCCTCTCCACCTGGCACCCATGCCATCCCATCTCTACCACTTTTTATCCTTTTACCATCCATACTATATCTCTTGCCCTGCCATCTATGTCTTGTGTCTCTACTGCTACTACTCTGCCCCCAACCCCTCAAGCTAGTTCAATCAGTCACTCTGTGTGTTGCCACTTTGTCTCATTATTGTCAGATCTGTGCCATTAAAGAGCAAAAACAAAACAAAACACTTTCTAATCAACCTGTTCACATATTATTATGCACCTCTGGAGCGGGTGAGACAGTAACTCTGTGCCAGCAAAGGGTCCTCGTCTATGGTTTACAATCCCCTCAACTCCCCTTCCTCTCCCAGACAAACATTAGTCACAGTTGATTAGTCCGTCTGCTTGAGACTGCCCTATCAGCAGCCTATAATCTTGTGGTTGCAACAAACTGACATCATGCCAACAGACAAATAAATGTTAGCGACATGCCTTTGGAGAAAGATGGAGTTGAGTGAGTGGGTGGCGGGAAGGAAGTTGATGTTTCAGAACCTCTTTTGCCAATGTTCAAAAACTGTTTAAGCCAAAATACTGCAAAGCAAAAGAATATAATGGAGGAAATTGGATTTAAGTTGGTAACTAATGCTGTTGCCTAGTTCACTTCTGTCTGCAATTTATTTTTAAGCATTAACTGAAATATTATCTCAGACTTTGTGAGGAGGACAAATTATATGGGCCCCTAACATCTTAGTCTGCCTCTGACATGCTATTTAATGTTCAGATTGTAGCTGATCAGCGTGCTGCAGAGCGCCACATTTCAGTAAAACAGTTGTGTATTCAACTTGATTCTTAGGTCTGCAAAGTGTTTTCAAATAACCGATCGATTGCTTTGGATACAGAAGAAACAAGGAAGTTAAATTTTAAGCTAGAAAAATATCCTTGAACTTGGCAGTGTAACAAGACAAAATGAATGCTGAAGCAAAAAAGGTAGTAGTAATTCGGGCAAGCAGAAATTTGCCACAGTGCTATTTTATGGGGAAGTATAGAGATTTAAGCAGGGGGCTGTATAGTGTGAGTCTAGAAAGTCTAAAGAGGATGTGTCCTGCCGATTTTAGAGAAGTTTCAGTTCTGTAGGAGGTTATGGTCCTAAGTACTCTGATTAGGCAAGTAAGGTGCCAGTGTCATTAGCACTCTGAATTAGCTCTGAAGAAAGAACCTTGCTTCCTGTGGCTCCTTTCATAGTTCAGGACACCTGTGAATTACAACAAATGGTATACTTTTCCTCCAGCAGTCATTATGGTTCCATGAATTGCATTGTTGTTAATGCAATGCAGACCATATTGTCTGTTCAGAACTTGCCAACTGGGGAAGAATAATAAGATGGAAGTATTGAATCCTGGTCAGGAATGACATGCAAATGAATGGTTACAGATTTCAGATTCCAGAGGGGGGAAAAAATATCTGCACCCAACCTTAATGAAAATTTGATTAACTAGTCAGAAGTAAAACAGCTGTGCTGTGAATGGTTGGTTGCATGTTAAAGTTTCGTAGGCAAATCCTGGTGACATTGCCTAGAAATGGAGCAGTTGCTAAGAACTTAGAGCAGTAGCCCCCAAATCTTCGTGGAGAATCAAATGCAAAAATGGGAAATTGTCTTTCTATCAATAGCCTTGTCAACCCTTCCTTAATGACATCTTGTCAGGTGGTAATATTTACAGGTATGGCGTCAACTTCCACCTATGCACTGATGCTCAACTCCACTTTGTTATTTACTTCAACTCTAGCCAAGATGCTGTGCATACCTAAAGGCATCATAATTTCCTTCAACCAAGCATGTCTAAGATTACAGTCTAAACAAATTCATCTCAAGGTAAACAGATTCTCCTTTATAATCTATCACTCAGGCTAAAGCCCACCAAGTTCCATTTAACACTGAACTTCAAGCCATATAGCTTCTCCATCTGGGTTCACTCATTCTTAAGCTTTCTGGCTACCTGTCCCTTGACACAATTTTGAAATCCTCGTTCTTTAAATGACTTCACAATCTTGTTACACTACGGTTCTACTACCAATTGAAACATGCATTTTTTCCCAAGCCCTTCTGTTTTTAAACTGTTGTGTTGTGTGTGACCCTTCTACCAACCAACAATTTGTGATCAAACTTGTAGTGCTTTGGCCTTGCTTTCTGCCATTTCCTCTCTGCTGATGATCATCATCTCTCTACATTTAAAGCCTTAAGTTTCCCTTTCTCCAAGTGCTCTAAACTATTCTTTACATGCCTTCTAGTTGTATTTCTCCTACAGCTTTGTAAATTGGGACGTTATATTAAAAGTGCTACTTGCATGCACATTTTGAAGTAAGTGTTGGCTTGTGAACTGGCTTGCATTAGTTCCACTGTGAATACCAGGTAATTGCATCAAGACTTGACTAATCACCTGTAATCTGATTTAAAATTCTGGTTTCCTTAGTAATTTCATCTGAGTTCTGCATTGTTGGTAAGAAGGGAAATTCAAGATGAGATGATGAGAATTCATCAAAGTTAATACTGGCTGTTTAACTAATACGTAGTTATGGAGATGGACTTTTTAAATGCAAAATTTTGACAATTTTGATAATGGGATGGAAGATTTTGTAAGCAGATGATGTACAGTCATAAAATTTGTGAAGTCTATAGTTATTTCGTGCTGGCATTGTGCAACATAATATTAGCAAGTTATTGCTCCGAGATATTTACCAATACTGTTCTGAAATACGATTCAGATGTTGGATTATCGTCCTTGTTCTTACTACCTTCCATGGGGTAATGTACGGTACTCAATGACTTGGCATCATTGAGATGGATATCTGTCCCTTCACTCTTTTGCGTTGGTGTCCTACCATATTGCTACGAGTATGATTTTATACTCATTACTGTATGGGTTACTTTCCTGTTCACTATTCCTTCCCAAACAAGGCCTGTTCCCAGTGTCTTCAGTTGACTGAGGAAGCTGATTGAGCAGCGTGTTCAGGTTAAATTGTTGGTCTTATTTATTAAACATTTTATTAGGTAAAATTCTTGTTCAGTATAAGTGGAAAACCATTTAAAGGTATAACACTCAGCGTGCAATATAAATATCAAATCGGATAGCACCAATTAAACAAGGATGACCTAAAGGTGGATTAAAAAAATAAAAATTACAGACCCAGCAGAGGGGAAGGAATATACTAGAAGTTTTCAAAAAAAAAATCAAGCACAGAAGCAACTTAAAGGGTTGCCAGAGATTAAAGATATGCAGGGCTAAGATTCAAGGTAAAAGCATTTGTGCAGTGCAAAAAATGGTCAGATGTCAAGTCAGAGAAAGGGAAATCCACATGTGCAAAAATAACTGAAATTGAGGCAAGAAATTAATAGGCTATCCTGTATGGTAACCAAATGAAAACCAATAACAGACATTAATAAAAGCAGTGAAGCAGTTAGACTCATTGTGAAGAAGACGCAGGTCATGCACCTGGAGATTGCATTCCAAATGCTGATGGAATAAATACTTTTTAACAGTAAATTTTGAGGGTCATTCTGTGCAAATTGTATGATGTGTCAAGCAGTAGTAACATGAAATAAGAAAGGAATAATATACTTGACCAACATTTTTAACTGCAAAATAAAGTAAGTAGGAATGCCCCATGTAAAGTACCCAAACTTCCAAGTCATTTGAATACCTACGTGAAAGGTTAGTAACCAAACTCGGTTGTGCAGATTTGGACGACGCCCGAAAAGCGAACAAAAAATGGCCTAGATGGGTGCGTGAATAAAGATCTCATTGGGAGCAATGTTGGAATTTGGAAAGAAATAGTGAACATTGCAGCACTTGATGGACAATACACTGATTTTTAATTCTGACCTCTGGGCTTTTCAACCTAAAAACTGTTTGAGGTGATATTATAGTTAGATGTGAGAGGAAGGTAAATCCAGAAATTAAATGGGTATTGGATATTCTTGATCCATCAGACAAAGCACTCACTGCCTTATAGAGGGGCAACCAGGAATAATTAAATGCTATTAGAGGTTTGGGGAAGCTTCTAGATAATGAGTTAAGTTGGTCGCAAGATTTTCCTTACCTTTAATTATTTTATTATAGAGAATGTTCCTGGGAAATGCCACACTGGCTGAGGGGAAATAAGTGTAGACTGAATTATCTGTTTTTAAGTGCATAATTTATCTTCTCTCCAGTGCACAACACTCTATGTTGAAATGTGCGGGAGCTGGCATCCTTCAATTCATTTATTTCTTAATTCTCATCTGTAAAAAAATGTCACACATTTAATTTAAAAAATCAATTGTACTAAACTCTGGTAAGATGATCGTTTCAACAGCTCAGATTTTACAGCTGGTGTGAAGTGACAGAGTTTGCTATCAATCCAAAGGAAAGTTTCTTAAAGAAATGTAGTGTTCTCTGTAGCATGGGGTTCCCCTTTCCTAATATTGATTTAAATCTGAAATAAATTTGATCAAGAGATGCCTAGCATTAGTAACGTTACCAACACAATAGGGGAGCTGATAGCTTAGTGCTATTATCGCTGGACTGTTAAACCAGACACCCAGGTAATGTTCTGGGACTCCTGGTTCAAATCCCGTTATAGCAAATGGTGGAATTTGAATTCAGATCTGGAATTAAGTGTCTAATGTTGACCGTGAATCCATTGTTAATTATCAGAAAAAAAACATCTGGTTCACTAATGTTCTTTAGGGAAGGAAATCGCTATCCTTACCGGTTCTGCCCTACATGTGACTCCAGACCCACAGCAATGTGGTTGACTCTTAACTGCCCTCTGGGCAATTAGGGATGGGCAATAAATGCTGGCCTAGCCAGTGATGGCCTTATCCCATAAATGAGTTTAAGAAAAAGATAAGCAGCCAGTCACTTTGAAGTATTCTCGGACAGCAAAATAGAAAGTGAAATGCTCTAAAGTTTTTCACTTTGATTTAGCATTTTAGAGAGGCATGAATGATTTGGGTGCATGTGTGTGAGATTAAGGTAAATGTAGTAAAAGATATTTTAACAAGTTATTTTAAAAATTAAATCTGTTTTCTCCATAAATAGTTTTTCAGGGACAGTGAGGTTGTCAATGGGTATTTAACCCCTAGTTACACTACATTCAATAAGGTGCAATCTTTTCCAAGGATTCTTACAGTAAGATTAGTATTTAAAAACACAAGTTTTTATCAGTTTAGTGATTTATAAATGATTACATTCTGGGTGGACTTCATAATTTATGGGTGCGGATGGAATCACTGATACCAATGGATTTCTGCCGTTAACTGTGCATGTGCGGACTGCTAATGTGCTGTCAATTTCAGAGGAGCAATGTCAAGTTTTACTGTTGTCACCACAAAATCCAGAATGCTATCTAATGTCAGTTTGCAAGTAACTCCATGAGTATTTACAAATATCAGTTGCTGTGGAAATGCTGTAGAGCAATAGCTGGGTTTTGGTTTGAAATGTTTTAAGGAGTACGTGGCATTCATCTTTTTAATTGCAATGCTTTTTATGACAGATACTTAAATTTCCTGTTATGACATTTTGTGTATGGGAGCCGCAATCAATTGTATCGTGGACTTGATGGTTTAAAAAAAATCTGATCTTTCAATATTGTGACATCAAGTTCTTTGTTTTAGGGGAAAAATTTGTATTTCGGCAGACAATGCTGGCATTATCCCAAACGTGCAATGTTTCTCAGCATTGTGACTGACAACCTACATCTCATTTATATAACGAACATTGGATTGCATGATTTTCAGAGATGCTAATTTATATTAGCAGCTATGCATTAGTTACAGTTCAGCCTTTATTCAATTCTTTTAGGTCTGTTACAAATGGCAGTTTCTATAAGATTCAATTTTCTATGAATGAAATTTGTGCCTCTGACATAGGTCATTCAACAGTGCAGGGATACGTGAATGATACCTGCTCAGGATTGTGTCAGAGTATAAACAGTTATGATGTAAATATGCTGAGCGTGTTTTGCCCACTCCACTATTTCCCTGCTCTGAAAAGCTGTAAACACTACAATGCTTGAGAGCATGCATTCAGGCTAGAATTAAGTTGAATTTAATTACATTGCACTGGCATCAAAATTTAAATACTGTTAAAATTCAAAGTATAGGAGGGTTAAAATGCTTGCATTGTTTGCAACACAGTTGGAATAAAGCATCTTTCGTAGTGTTCTCAATATAATTGTTTTGAAGATGAATACCCACTTAGTAACTTGAAATGTCAATTCTAGAACTGTAATGAAGCTAATACTGACCTAAAGTTGAGCAGCTAAAAGGAAGTATTCATGTCATTATGCTGAAGTACAATGTTGAGACATCAATTTTTTCCCCCTCTCTTTCCTTGACAGGAAAATTGATCACCTTACACAGGAACACAGCTGGGTTTGATTGTGCACACACACTTAAAATGGATACTTAACCTTTTTTAAATTAAACCTTAATGTACTTTACAGATGCACAAGTCATTTTTGTGCAATGTTTTTCTGCTGATGGTTCAACTTTATTACCCTCCCCCATTCTCTTTGTTTAACTTAAACTAATTTGGTTGTGTCCAATTGTGTCATTATCCACATGATTTCAGTCATTTGTTTAAAGTATGCAAAACAGTCATGAGAGCTTGTAGAATTGGGCAGGAATTGGCGTTAAAATGAGAATTGAGAGCTGGGTTTGGAATCGGACTCTGAGCGCAGGCAAAGCTGGTTGTTCTCACTTTTTTGTGGATCAAACAGCTAATCTGTACAAGTATGTCAATAATATCATTGCCACAGACTAATCAGTAGGAATTGGTAAAAGGACTACTAAATAAACCTAAACATTTACTACTGTGATAATTTTGTCAGTGTTAGGGGGATAAAAGGCAGTCGTGTTGATCTTAGTACAAATTACGTCTAAGGTGGTAATACAGTCTGTACAATTTTTTAACATTTCTTTTTTTTTTAAACAGGAACCTAATGATGCTTTAATCTGAAAAGGTAAGAAATGACTTAATTCAGTTTATGCAGTGCTTTCTAACTAGGATATGTAACGTGAATATTAATTTGCTAAAATATAAAAGCTGAAATGCTCACATTTGAAGTGAAAGTATAGTACAGTTTGGTATCTGAAATATGATCTTGTTTTATCTGTAAAGTTTGTATTTGGTAATTGTGTGTGTATATATACATTTTGTAGAAAAAGTTTTTGAAATTTTGTATCAATAGAGTTGGGGCGTTTAGCTCATTGGCTGGCTTATGATGCAGAATGATGCCAACAGCATGGATTCAGTTCCTGTACCAGCAGATGTTATCATGAAGGTCCCACTTTCTCAGTCTTGCCCCTTACCTCTGGCGTGCTGATCGTCAGGGTAAACCACCATCAGTTGTCTCTTTCTCTCAGTCCCAGAGAAACACAGGGCTGTTTTCTCAGAGACAATGGTGATTGTCATTGTCATTGTCACCATTATAGTCCAGATGACAGTCTGAGTAAACCTTCAGCATTTTAGAGACCTTTTCAAAGTGGGAATACTTTGCAAATTTGAAATGCGTGATTGTCATACAGCTTATTCTTAAAGGTGGTATGATTGATTTTAGTGAACAAGTCTTATTGCAACCGTTTATCATCGTTTCTACAAATGTAAGCACTTACTTTCAGTGAAACACGGGCTTGCATAAATGCATTTTTAAAAACTTGAACCAGTGGAGTTGGTAATCTCACATGACTGAAAGTCAAATGTAAGCATTCTAGGGTAGAGTCAAGTGACAGGCAGTGACACTTAGTTACTCATATTTTGCAGAATAACTAGTAGTTAGAACTTCCGGTCTATACTATAATTTTGAAATGAAGGATTCAGATCGCGATGAAACCAAGAGCAAATTATAAATGAACTGACTGTATTGTGCCCTTGAATGTATTTCTATCTTAAGTTTAGTTTATATTGTCAGAATTTGAATGTCTTTATCACATGGTGGAGGGAACTTTACAAGATTGAGGTTAAGACAAACTTGCGACATCAGCTGAGAGCATTGTGCTGAAGGAAACTTGTAAACTGTGCACAAATTTGTAAACAATTGTTTACAATTTCCAGTTTAACTGACAAGTACTGTCAATCAGTTATACATATTTCCATACTATACAGAACGTGTCTATACTTGAATTTAATAAAATGTATTCACAAAACAAATTGTCGGATCAGCACTCCTGTCAAGACAGCTTTGTTCTCCTCCTATCCAAACATTTGAATTGTAACATTGTTCTATTAAGAAGTCCAGATTCTAAACTTCATAATAATAACTCTCTCCAGGCACTGAGTTTCTGTTGGTAGATTTCAAATATTCCCTCGTTTAAGTGGGTGTGCTACTTACAACTTCTTTGGGTTTTCATTAAACTGAAACTATTGTTTACAGACATGTAAATACTAGTATATACTAGAGTAAAAGTCTACTTCATGTAAAAGGTGACCCCTATTTTGGCCAAAAAATCTGGAATTTTCCATATTTGTGTAAGAGTCGACCCTAGTTCTTCACTGATAACAGATCAACGAGGTACTAACCTGTACATAAATGTTCTGACAAAATGAATTTTTTTCACACTAATGTATTTTGATATACAATTCACACCAATTTGACACGCAAGCTTAAGACAGATCAGGTCAGAATCAGTTGACAACCTCCCTTTGTGTGCAGCTCACCTGAACTCAGTTTCCCTGTAGCTCTTGTGGAATACAGTCATATACGTAGTTAAGGTTTTGAAATGTCTTCATTTTGTGTAAAAATACCCTCCAGAAAAAAAACACAAAAATTTTCAATGTTTAGACTGAAACTTATTGAAGTTGCAGAGAACACAAATAACTGTGTAGCAGCAAGAGAATTTTGTGTTTTGGAGAAATCTGAGAGACAGAGAAAGATATTGAACCAACTTCAGACAATGCCAAAATGAAAGTGTTCCTGCAGAGGTAATCATAGCAAGTGGCCACAATTGGAGAAAAAAGTTGTTGAGTGGGTACTTGAAAATCGTCAATGGAAAACGTGTTAGTCTTGAAGCCATCCAAGTCCATGCACGGAAAAATCAAAGGATGGAATTTCAGATTTTAAGGCAAGTGCTGGATAGTGCACAAGATTCATGTGATTCATGAGAAAGCATGACTTAGTACTTTGCCAGAGAACTAAGATTGCACAAAAGCTGCCTGCTACTAGAAGATATTACAGTTTCACCAGTTTGTAATCAGAAGGAAGGCTAATTAAGATGTTAATTTTAATTTGTTAATTTAAGATCTATCATGTAATTGTAATTTAAAGCCATATTAAGTTTCTACTTCACTGTATGCATAAATAAAAGCTTACTAATTCATTTTTGTTTCTATTGTCTTTACCTAGGAATTACTGTAATTTGTTTTTTCTTCATTTGTTTGGAGATCAATTGGGCTTCTGCTAAGGATACGGTATTTTGGACTGTAGCATGAATTTCAGCCCCTCAGAAGTAGTATCCATGTGACAGTTTACCTCATAAATTTAACCTTAAAAAATAGTCTAAAAGATTTGACTTTTACACAAGTATATACGGTTGTCTCTCCAGTTCTGAAGAAGGGTCACTGGACTCAATGTTAACTCTGCTTTTTCTTGACAGATACTGCTGAGTTTCTCTAGAAATTTCCATTTTTATTTTAAACATTCTCTGCATTTCGTTCTGCGCCAAAATACCCTACAGTTTATCAAACTTAAGAGAACTTGTTTACAATTCCAGCTTCCTTATAACTATGGACAGGCTGTTAACTACCCATATCATAAAAATTGTTTGAATAAATGTTTGTTTGTTATTAACCATTGACCCTTAAATCCAATTGCTTGCTATTCATGTAAACTTTAAAATAATACAGTTTAATGCACTGACGTTGCATTGTTTGGAATCTTTGTTCCTTGTTTCTATAGCCAGATTAGGAAATTGGTCATTCCATCAAGGTTTTTTGTCAACCTTAGCCTAACTGCTTTGATTATTCTAGTAATGGGATAATTTATTTCTAGATTCTACATAGTTCCAAGTGGTTGGTAATGAATTTTGTGTTTTTTTTTTCAGACTGTTTGATTTCATCACTTCAGTTATTTTAAGGAGCCATGGCTGGAAAGTCTACTCTACTAAAGGTGATCCTACTAGGCGATGGTGGAGTAGGAAAAAGTTCACTCATGAATAGATACGTTACCAATAAATTTGACATCCATCTGTTTCACACAATAGGTGTTGAGTTTCTTAACAAAGATTTGGAAGTAGATGAACATTATGTGACAATGCAGATATGGGATACTGCTGGTCAAGAGAGGTTTAGGAGTCTTCGGACACCGTTCTATCGAGGTTCTGATTGTTGCCTCCTTACTTTCAGTGTTGATGATCACCAGAGTTTCCAAAATTTGGGCAATTGGAAAAAGGAATTTATCTACTATGCAGATGTCAAGGAACCAGAGAGTTTCCCATTTGTGGTTCTAGGTAATAAAATTGATGTTGCTGAGAGGCAAGTTTCAACAGAGGAAGCTCAGGCTTGGTGCAAAGAGAACGGTAACCATCCTTATTTTGAAACAAGTGCAAAGGATGCTACCAATGTTGCAGTGGCCTTTGAAGAAGCTGTTCGTCGAGTTCTTGCTGCTGATGATAGATCTGACAATTTCATGCAAACGGACACAGTGAATCTTAATCGAGGAAAGAAACACAGCTCTTTCTGCTGCTGACTGTTGGATGCAATGAACTTTCCACTGTATGCCATTGATTTACTGATAGTTGAATGGGCCATGAAAATCTGTTGGAACTGTTTTGAGAAACCAGTGCCAATCAGCTGAAGATACTGGGTTCTTTTGGTTGTGAAAGGGTTTGAATGCACACGCACAATACTAATGTGCTGAATTACCCATAGATAATTGACTTATTCATTGGCCATATGATATTTAAACAAAAAGGTTTTGTGGATTTGAAATCAACTTTGAAAAATGGCACAGCTTCACATGCTTTAAGTTTAAAAAAAATTGGTGTTGGTGGTACATTATTTTTAACTGAAGTGTAACAAATCTTCGTGCAACAAACCATATTGTAGCTTGAGGTAACGGTTGGAGAATTGGAATTTGATTAACTCTAAATATTTATCATTTGTGTAAATTGCTGGTTCCATAAAATTCTCCTTTATGTACTCATGTTCCTAATCTGACCCTAAAATATATTGGGGTTAATTGTTAATTATTTTCCCTCTTTTTGGAAAAAAAAAATCATTTGCTGTTATTGGACAGAAACCTGTCTATTTTTTCATGCTCGAATTGAGTTTTGTGTAACCAAAATTTCTACTGATCACATTTTTGTTGAACGAAGTATTTGCAGGTACTGAAAACATTGTTTAGCTTTTCAGTTGGTTCAACTCTGCAGAATGTTACAATGTCAAATAACCAAAAGATATCATTCCATTGTTAGCTGCATTAAGTTTGAAAAAAGCAGAGTTTGGTCAACAGTTCTGGGTTATTCACCAGCCAGGGTTTATTTTGTTAATGTACAGCTAATTTTAAGTTGAATAATACAAAGGTATCATGAAATTTTGAAATGACTTGTCAAGGGCTGAAATAATTTCACATCTGCTTTAAATATTAAACATTAATTGTTCAGCCCCCTTTCATGAAGCACCTTATGCATTTTTCTTCCCTTAGGGTTTAATGTAGCCTGTAAGTACTGTTGCATTTTGGGCAATATGTTGTCACACTACCATATTGTATGAAGTTACCTGCGAGAGTGACTTGGACTTTTTAATTATTCCAACTTTAAATTATACCTTTGTGTACATTCGGTGTGACTGAAGATCTATGATTTGAGACTGTCAAACAAGATTGAATTCAGAATCATTAGCTTTCGTTTACAGCTCTGTTTAAATGTTGGCTGTCCCTGCTCTAGCATATTCTGATGTGTGCCAAAGCTTGAATCCGTTTTACACATATTTAGTGGTAAAATATTTATTTCCTCCTCTTTTCTCTTTATGCAATTCTGTCATCCTAAGCCAAGAGTATTTGTAGCAAAGCTGATCAAAGGCCTTTGCTGCTGTGTTGGGCGTTAGATGTCCTGTTGGGTAGTTAGCCAGTTTTCCTGTTGTCTCCGTATCTTTCCAGGATATGATTGAGATCAGGAGTATGGCATTTAGTAATCACTGGCAAATTGAATTTTAGCCCATGAGATGCAGGTGGAAGACCCAACAGGATGAACCATTGTAATATCTTTAGAGAGCTATTTGTTAAGCAGAATAATAAATTTAATGAATGGCCAGGTCAGCCTTTACATAATGGAACAATCAATTCAGTTACAGAAAGGTGGAATTAAACAAATATAAAAGCACATTATTTTGAGGCTTTACAGTTTGCAGTTGAATGACCCATTTATCATCATTAGGCTCTCTATCAACTTTGGCTGATAAAGTGCTGCTGAATTATATTTTAATGTGGGTGTGGCATTTGTTAAATCACTGAACGCTGAGAATTGAGTAGCCATTTCTAAACATGTTGTCTTTCCATTTTGCCACTGCTTTTGTTATTGCTGCATAAAATGATTTAATCACCAGCTGCTTTTTTTTTTAGTGTTTCTTTTCAAATACTGGAAAAAATCTTTCAACAAAGCAATGATTTTAACAATTTGTAAATCAGTTGCATATTTCATACTATATTTTACTCATTGACTTCATTATCACATTTTTGAAGCTTTTACTTAAAAACCCAAGTCTGTTCCAGAAGCTTAGACTTAAGTGGTCTGGACGTCAGGTTCTGACTTTTGAGTCAAAGGTGGCGAGTTCAAAAGCCCATCTATGGCCTTGAGCATATAATTATGGCTGACACTTGCATGTATTAAAGGAGGACTGATGTACTATCAAGATCGTAAAAAAGGCTGGAAATCAGTAATAAAATTCAAAATCATTGAAATTAAAGTGCAATTTGTGGAGAAAGAAACAAACAAACTGATGCAAAGCAAAATGGGGAAGGAAATAGAGGGGAAAAAGTTAGTCAATATTGAAACTAGAAGGTGGTTAACTCATTAATCAGTTTGTTCTTTTAGTGAAGACAATAGTGTCAGAGGACAAAAGGGTGGAATGGAATGGAGAACTCATGATTAGAAATCAAGCATCATGTTTATGAACTAAATGGACTTATTCAAAGTGTTTGGATAATCTGCATTTCATTCTGCTATGCAGCAGATATTTCACTGCTCATGATCCTAATGTATAATAAATTGAACAAAGTCTAAGTACATTGCTGTTTAATGCAGAAGATAAGGGAGAGTTAATTTGCACATTAATCCTTTATTCTAAAGTCCTGTCACAACCAGTCCCTAGGCAAGGTTTCCTGTTTTTAGAACTCTTCCAGGCAAGATACCTAACTTGTCATGTTCTTAGTGAAGGATGAACTGGCTCCTCTTTAGTCACCTGCCCTCCTAGTTTGATTACGACAGGGTTAATTAAAAAACAACCGTCTTCGTTGGGGATAACTTTTCTCCTAGGCTCAACGTTGAAGGAGTAATGTAACACATACAGACTAGAAATAAGCTTAAAAGATGTGCAAATCAACCTGAGTCATTCATGGATAGTGGAAAGTTGATAGTTCGGTCTAAATTGAGATATTTGGCTTTACCGATAGCAAGCCAGTTCAAAAGGAAACAGAATTTCAGCTGAGTACCTTCCACTATACAGCAAGAGTTTTATTTACCTGTAATGCAGGGGTGACTGATAGGTGAAGAATCACTCATGACTTGCAGCATATTAATGCTTGAACTCAGGTTAGTGGACGTAGCCACTGCAGTCCACTAGTGTGCACAAATAGTTAAAACTCACTTAACCCCTGGCCCTGGGTATTCTTGAAAGGGAAAAATGCAAACATTGCTCTAGACTGCTGCCTTCACATGACATTCCAGAGTTGCTATTCAGACAGCTACAGAATTTATATTTTTGGCTGTATCTTTCTTTTCAAAAAAAAAACTTGGCAATTAAAAGTTCAATACGCACACAGCTGATCCAGGGCTATTCTATTTCATTCAGTATGTCTAATACTAGGTGTTTTTATTACTATCAAAGATATTATTCCCTGGGTCAAAGCACAATGTACCTCATTAGTCATGCTCAGCCACCATTAAAGCAGTTGATACAAGATAATAGCTCTACACACTCTGCTCAATGATTCCAAATTGGCAAATTCAGTTTAATGTAATCATTTCCTTAGAATGTCAAAGCAGCTCATACTTATGGTGGACTCTTGTTTCAGCTGCCCCCAGTTCAGACAGAATTTCACATTGATCCTAGGCCCCCAAAATACTTAACTTGGATTGTAGGGTACAGCTGTATCAAGAAAATACTGGTGTTTCTTTTACAGGTTGGTGTTGCATACTCTCCACTGTCTTGTCACCTGTTTGGATATGACATGGCATTTCATCCTGCCATTTGGAGCTGGAGGAAGGCTCAGGGGGAAATACTTCCCTTTTCTACTAGCTTTGGAATTCAGCTGAATGCTATCTTGAAAGATTTGAGATTTTTGCATTCAAAAGACACACTCGTCCAGCAATAGGCTAGGATCTGCACCTGTAGCTAGTAACTGCTGGCATAATTCATAAGCTTTTGCAACAGTAAAATAGTTCCAACTAGAATCAGCATGTAACTACTGGTGGGCAGGGCTAGGTGTCTATATCACTAGACATCCCTGCATATTGGTATTAAGTAATAGGAATGTAGAAGTATGACAAATTGTTTAAGCTGAAGCACACACAGTTTCAAAATTTAATACAGATGGAGCACAATTTTTCTGAATGAAAACATGACTGATTTAAAGAAAACTATTCAACAGGCACAAGTAACTGACATAGCTTGCATGTAGTAAATATAGATGCCAAAGCCCAACGTATGATTTCTTTATATAATAAATACACACATGAAGGAATAGTACAATTGACAAAAAGTCACCAACGACAATATGCTACACAGTAAAAGATACTTCTGATATCCTGTAACCTTTAATTATATTTACATGCGCTGTCATTCGTTCAACTCAGCAGGTGCTTCTTTCCCAAGAATTGAACTTTTCTGTCAAATGCTGTTGATCGAATGAGGGTATTAGGTTCATAAAATGGATTCATGGCAAACTGGAGGAGGGAAAAAAATAGTCTAAATATTTCTTAAACATTAAAAGTAAAATTAAAATAATTGAACTGACCACAACCAGAATTGGAAATATTTGCTATAGGAATTTAAATAAAAATTTCAAAGATGGAGACAGTTTACAGATTCATGAAGTACTAAAAGGCTGTCCACACAGACTTAACTGTCCTTTGTTAGCTATTACAAAGTAACATTTCAAGTATAATACAGGCTTATTTGAGGGCCAAAATGTTTTTTGGCCATGACCTGACAGGCAATCTTCCCTGACCATGCTCAATATTTTCAATAATTAAGAAGTTAAATAAACAGAATAGGAAATGAATTGGCAAGATCACAATCAAACAAGTTAAACAGTACGACACTCTAATTTTCATTTGTCCCAGTGGAAAAACAAGAAAAGATTCTACTTACCTTAATGTACAAATCATAGACATCATTAAAAAAGTTTTTTATTCCATCTTCTTGACGCACATCATGCAACATAATAAATCTCATGTGTGAAACAGAATTAAGGAAACAGGAACAGATGCTTCAATTATGTATTTGCAGCACAAATTTATTTTCATGTGCATATATGAAGAAATAGCAAGGCATCTTGATAGAAATTGTCCCGTTGGGCAGACGCAGCATGGGTTCATGAAGGGCAGGTCATGCTTGACAAATCTTTTGGAATTCTATGAAGACATTATGAGCGAGGTGGACAATGGGGACCCAGTGGATGTGGTGTACCTAGATTTCCAAAAGGCCTTCAACAAGGTGCCGCACAAGAGGCTACTGCATAAGATAAGGATGCATGGCATTAAGGGTAAAGTATTAGCATGAACAGAGGATTGGTTGACTAACAGGAAGCAAAGAGTGGGGATAAAGGAGTGCTATTCTCGCTGGCAGTCAGTGACTAGTGGTGTGCCTCAGGGATCAGTGTTGGGACCGCAATTATTTACAATTTATATAGATGATTTGGAGTTGGAGACCACGTGTAGGGTGTCAAAGTTCGCAGATGACACTAAGATGAGTGGCAGAGCAAAGTGTGCAGAGGACTGTGAAACTTTGCAGAGGAACATAGATACATTGAGACAGTGGGCAAAGGTCTGGCAGATGGAATACAATGTAAATAAATGTGAAGTCATACATTTTGGTAGGAGTAATAGTAAAAAGGATTATTACTTGAATGGTAAAAAGTTGCAGTATGCTGCTATGCAGAGGGACCTGGGTGTCCTTGTGCATGAATCACAGAAAGTAGGTCTGCAGGTACAACAAGTAATTAGGAAGGCAAATGGAATTTTGTCCTTCATTGCTAAAGGGATTGAAGTTAAAAGCAGAGAGGTTATGTTGCAGCTGTACAAGGTGCTGGTGAGGCCACACCTAGAGTACTGTGTGCAGTACTGGTCTCCTTACTTGAGAAAAGGATGTACTGGCACTGGAGGGGGTGCAAAGGAGGTTCACTAGGTTGATTCCGGAGTTGAGGGGGTTGGTTTATGAGGAGAGACTGAGTAGATTGGGATTATATTCATTGGAATTCAGAAGATTGAGGGGGGATCTTATAGAAACATATAAAATTATGAAGGGAATAGATAAGAGAGAAGTAGAGAGGATGTTTCCACTGGCAGGTGAAGCTAGGACAAGAGGGCATAGCCTCAAGATTAGAGGGAGCAGATTTAGGACTGAATTGAGAAGGAATTTCTTCACCCAGAGGGTTGTTAATCTATGGAATTCCTTGCCCAGTGAAGTAGTTGACGCTACTTCAGTAAACGTTTTTTAAAAAAAAGGTAGATTTTTTTTGAACAATAAAGGAATTAAGGGATACGGTGAGAACGCGGGTAAGTGGATCTGAGTCCACGAAAAGATCAGCCATGATGTTATTGAATGGCAGAGCAGGCTCGAAGGGCCAGATGGCCTACTCCTGCTCCTAGTTCTTATGTTCTTATGGAACTACTAAACTGCTTGGGCCTTCAAGCTAGAGAGTGTAACTTGTTATTTAGGTAACAAAATCAGTAACTAATCCAGGAGGCCTGAGGTCAGGTCCCACCCACAAGTGTGTAGTAACACTTCTGAACATGTTATTTAAATGATTTGTAAATCCTAATATTCATTTAGTCAGTTTCAACTCTACATATAGCTGTTGCCAGCTCAGAGATGCAGTCTTCAGCAGGTCCGAAGGGCTTGAGATTCAGTAGCATGTCCCTACTCTGAATCAGCAGGCCCACATTCATGTTCCACCTGCTCTACAGGTGTGTAATAGCATCATGAACAGGGTGATGAAAATATATAGTCCAGAATAGCCTATATCATAGACACAGTGAAACTTGAGAGGGCTCTCTGGGTGTTTGCTGGAAGGGTTCTTGTGCTGCATTGTTAGTGTCCCTACCTGTGTCAGGAGGCCTGGGTTCAAGTCCCGCTAACCACAAAGATGTGTAACGCTTGAACTGATTCTTAGTGTGATTCTTCTAACTGGAGTCAGAACTTGATGCAACTTTTCTCTGAACATTATATTTGACCTGCCCTGAGGCACTCTTGTGGCACCATGATACTGTCCCTAGTTCTGACTCAGGAAGCCTGGAGTCCCACTTACTTCAGAGGTGTGTAATAACAATGCTGAACAGGTTGAGTAAATAAATATCTTGACCTGGAGTCTGAGTTGCAAACATTGTAGAGTGTAGGGAAGAGGAGAGTTAGTTGGATACTTTGAACTATACAGTTCTACTTAACCTAACAGCCTCCTAGAACTATGGACAGGGAAGGGAGTGTCAGGCAGGTGTGTGAATCCAGCATGTACTGATGGAGGAGCCTTATCTCTTTGATGTACCTGCCTCCTTGTGGATGGGAATAGGACTGCCATGCTAATGAGCAAATTGACCAGGATACAAGATGCCATTGAATTGGGGGAGCAAAAAAGAATTTGGTAATGATAAGGGAACACTATAGCCAGGGGATAAATATAGTTCCTCTTGCTGTGACCAGAAACTCAAGATTAAATTACCTATCATGCCAGACTTAAGGACATTCACTCTGTTTCACCCACGAGGCAGTGAGAGAGGATTCAGTTGTCATAGCATTATATAGAAACCAATGACAGACAGAATTAAACAATCTTGTGCTGGGATTGATTTAGGATCCAAATTAAATATACAGAGAACCACACATCAATTGGCATAGGGTCAAACAAATCAGAGAATTTAACGTGTGGCAGCAAGACTAGTATGGGAAGAAAAGGTTTCAATTAATGATTGACAGTCATCACTATTTAGGAAATAGGGAGCTGTTCTGTTAAAACAGAAAAAACCTCTTAACCAAGGTTGGGATCAGTAACCTGGTGAATAGTATAAATTTGGGCCAGGGATTTTAATTTTTGTATAATGTCAAGGACAAATTACCCAATGACTTTTCAACTCTAGAAAACCTCAAGTTGCATAATTTCCCCTTCTACTTAGGTATTTTGTTGTGACATTCAACTTTCCACTTAGTAGTAACAGTATGGTTGCTACACAAGCATATGGAAACTGTCCTTTGTGTATTTAAGTCCCCCACTGAGATCATGTTGTTCTAGTGTATGAAACCAGTAGGCCATTTTTCAACTTTCAATCTTTGATAATTAAAAGTACAATATTAAAACAAACACAAGTAAAGATACTTGGGGGGGAAAACAATTCTTCAATATAGTTTCTTTCACAGACAAACCAACTTGAACTGCCTGCTTGTGATTTGGGGCATATTTCCATCTTTGGATATGTATTTAAATTGAGGTTAGACAGATCGAATGAATATCTTCCTTTTCTAATAGGGAGTTTGTGTGTGCAGGCCCCACCTATAAGTTACATCACAAAGATGCCGATTACCAGAGTTTTATTACTCTCCCAGAATGCCTATTAAGACAGCAGAACAATTTCTTAGAATCATACCTTTCAAGGTATTATTGAAGTCGCAGTTATATTTATTTCATATAATACTCAAATGAATACCATGGGATAGATAATATTGCACATGGTAGATTTACATCAAACAGAAGTTGGAATTTTACTTATTCCCAAACTTTATAGAAAATGAGTATTCCTTGAGGCAGCAAGCAATGAAATTGTAGCTTCTATTTCATCCAACCAGAATTATATTACTCTCTCACATAATTCTGTCTAGCCTTATACAATCAATGCATATCTCTCTCTCCAAAAGATCAATTCACAAATTGCTACGCGTGCAGAAAGTAATAAGCAAAGGTTTTTTCTCTTTCCCATGGGAGCAAAGAATTGGAGAAAGGTTACTCTTAAAAAAGGATATGTCCAGCTGTAACAAACGCAGAGATAAACCATTCATTGAACTTGTCAACAGTTTTCAAGTACATATTGTTGGATAACCACATGTTCTCATCTACTAAATCAAGAGCAGCATGAGCTATGAACTGGTTCAAGTGTCGGTGATCATCCTGTTTTTTTTAAGAGGAAAATTGAATAAAACATAAATAATTAAGAAGCTACTCCACCAAAGGATTCACTCTGCTGTGTGTAGCATGGAATCAATATTCCCCTGTTCTAACCATTACAGTAACCAAGTTACAATTCCTATTAAGTACAGAAGTGACCTGGCAAATCAAAAGAATGGATACAGAGGGCAGAAATTAAGCTGGCACGTCAAAGGCAATTATCAGGAGGCTATAAGATGATGTGGTTAAGGGAAAGACTTACAAAGGAGAAGGGTAGTGACTGAAGAACAAATCCTTAGAAGTGGAGTGGGCATTAACAGTTACCTGATGACACAGAAACAGATGTGTAGGTGCATGTGCTGGAGGGGATTACTTGTATTCGAGTAGGGTGCAGAGGAATTTGAGAACAAGAGTCTTCCTGGGACACTAAAGCTAGTCTAGCATGGCAAGGACAAGATAGATAGATGTGAAGATCTTCGAGGGAGAAGACAGAATTCAGAATTTCCAATTGAAGTTTGTGAAAGGCAAGTGCAGATCAACTTCTGGACAGACTTAGTTCCAGATGTAATGGAAGTAATTTAGAAAGCAATATTGGCAGAAAGGTATGAACTTAATTGCAACATATAGAAATACAACCAAGATAGAAATGTGTTTCAGAGACAAACAGGTTATCACAAAAGCATGTCTTCAGGTGTACCACCGCAATATTGAACATCACTCAAAACAGTGTTGACACTTCATGAATATAAAGATTGCATTAGAATCCTTTCCTGTTTCCTTTCAGTCTTTTCCTTCTCATCCAAATTATTCTTGAGAAAGCTCTTTTTTTCTCCTCCCAGCCCTACCCCATGGAGAAGGAAGTATGTGGCAGCATATAAGAACCCATCTATCCTTGTTATCAATGCTTTATGCATTGTCAGGAGTATTACACTTTATGGGGTAAAAAAACACTCCAAACAAAATCACTAGTGCAATCTGAAAAGTTATAAATTTGCACATCTCTATTAAATTACATCCTTACTGCTACACAGAATAAAAAGCTGATGCAGAGCTACATGATTTATACTTAAAATAGGGATTTCTGTGCATCAGAACCTCCGGCACCTGATCAGCTATCAGCAGCTCTCAACCCAGGTAAGTGAAGGACAAGTTTTCTGAAGTGTGATGTTGCCACATTGATAATGGATCAACCTACTCTTTTTGACCATGCATCTCATTTTGTCCCACAGACACACATTTCTCAGTATGGCACAACAAACATGCCAGAAAGATAAATCAACTGCAGTCTCACCTTAAGTGCAAGTCTGAATTTATTAGATAATTTTGAGATTGTGAAGATGCAATCAAGGCTCAATAGCATGCATTTATATAAATAGACTGTTGTAAGTTCTGGTGCAGATAGATGGCTGGATGCTTAGCCCAGGGCAAGATATGACACCAGAGAGTCTGCTTCAGCCTCAGATAGAAGCTTGGGATAGAGTGAAACAGTGGTAAGAGGACAGTTAGTGGTGGGAACCGAAGAAAATGGTTTTGATCCTGAACTTTATTTGGAGGAAATTTCTTTTCACCCATTACTGATATAAAGAGCCGAATGTTGTCAGTGTACATATGGATTCTGATGTCCCACATCACATGTCAACGTGCAGATGAGGGAAATGAAGAAACCAAGGTTAGATTATCAGTGGTTATCGGTAGTAATGGTATGGGAAGACAGAAAGCAGCCATTTCTGGTAATTCTTTGGGACTGTAAATTACAGGAAAAGGAAAAGGAAAAGGTAAGTAATGCAGAGATTTAAAATAAATGACAAGAATTTCAAAACAAGGCCACATATAGATCTGAAGTCATCTAGACGCAAAATGTTAGCTTGCTTTCTCTCCATGCATGCTGCCTGACCTGCAGTAATCTCCAGCATTTTTTTTTCCAGATTCCAGTTTAGATTCCAGCATTTGCAGTAATTTTCTGCTGCCACATAAAGATCATTGGATTGAGTGGCAATGCAGCAACAGAAAGAAAATCTATTGTAAGTGACGTCCGGCTATGATTAGTTGGATAAAAATGGAACCACATTACAGCAGTCCCAACCATCTGGACGTCAACGGGAGGCAGATTGTCAAAAGATGCAGATAACAGTATTTTCTGAGTAATAGTGCATTGAAATTGTAAAAAAAAAACTCACTTTGGGCTCCATTTTGCCTGCTGGAAGAAACTCCATTTCAAAAACGGGGTTGTCATGATGTCCAACTATAACAAAATAAAAACTACCAGACATGTCTCTAATTTAACCTGTAAAGAAAGCAATATTCATGTTAAAATTAATGAACAGCAAATCCTCCAATTCATAAGAACTTCTTCCCTACCACCACTTCAGAAAGCTCAAACACCTGCATTCAATATGTGAATCAAGTATTTCTAATTAAAACTAATTTGGAGGTTTACATTTTACCTTCAAGAAAGGTATTTAACAACACAAATTCATAACTTTTTTTTAAAACCTTTTATTACATTCCTCTGTACTATCCATGAATATTCCCAGTTCAAAATGAGCCATATATCTCCAGAGACTCTGTCAATGTTGTTCTAACCATTGCTAACCACTAGTTTTAAATAGAATACCAATGATACAGATGCATTTTATAATATTGAACTGAAATAATAGGCAAGAAAGGTCAATGTTTGATTTTTGGACAGTGAGTAACTAGCTGACCTCAACAAATTAAGCAGCCCCAGTTGTCCAGATTAAGGGGAAAAAAATCACTGACCAGATTTTTGTATGCAGAATAGCCAATCAAGCAACATGCAAACAAATGCGTAACCGAAACTATTTATTAACCATCGAGTTGGATTCAAAAAGGGAAACAAGCTCAGGATAACATTCAACAAACCTCAACACATGCAACATTTAGATTTACAAAATGCATTCAACAAAGTTTCCCATTAAAAAAGACTTAGTTCAACTCAAATTTAGATAGATTTGTAACATTAAAAAACTGGGCTGAACACTAAGTATTTATTAAAGAGACTGCAGTTGGATGGTAGGAACAGGAAAAGCTGATGTGGCTTAATGCTGGCATTAGTTATGGTTTCAATTTCTGTTATTGATAGATTCAAACTAAGTACAAAATGTGTTTAAGTTATGCAAACTATAAAGGGGCAAGAAAATCAGACAAGGCTGATAAAATTACATATATTATCCAACTTGCTATGCAATTTCTGTCAGAAGTCAACTTGTTATGTTTCAAATGATGTGTGTATGTGGGAAAAAATGACAAACCCAAATTATCTCAATGCTCAAGGCGTCCAAGCAGTGAAGGGGAGCAGTCAATAAAGACAATGGAATGTTGAATAACATGGCTAAAACAAAGACTATGAGTCAAAGGAAATAATGAACAAACAGTAGAGAGATCTGGTTAAATTGTCCGTTGAAAAAAGCCCGTTCTACTGGTTGAGACACTAGAAAGACATTCAAGTCAGAAAATATGATATTCAGTATCAAAGGTCTCACTATTGATAAGAAAAACTGAAGGTGCTTTGGTGTTAAGAAAAGTACTGAGTGTGATCTTAAAAGAATGCAAAATTGTTAAGGGTACGTAAAAAGAATAGTGGAAGCATAATACCTTATAAGCTAACTAAATAATTAGCGACTGTAAAATCTGCCTGGATTGATTAAACTGTCATTCTCAACATTAACCTTTCCATAGGTCTGGCAGCATCTGTAAAGCAAAATCAGAGTTAACATTTCAGGTAAGAACTGAGTTGAGGAAAGATCACCGGACCTGAAACATTAACTCTGATTTTGCTTTGCAGATGCTGCCAGACTTGCTGAGCTTTTCCAGAAACCTGTTTTTGTTCCCGATTTACAGATCTACAGTTCTTTTAGTTTTTATTAACCATTCTGTGATCACTGCTGTCTTTTAGGGATTAATATCGGGACAGGGGTGCAACAGGGTTGGAAGAATAGAAAAACTAGCAATGATGGAAACAAAAAAAAAACACCAAAAATAACAGACCAACACATAAAGATGAAGGGTCTAGGCCCGAAACGTCAGCCGTCCTGCTCCTATGATGCTGCTTGGCCTGCTGTGTTCATCCAGCTCTGCACCTTGTTGTCTCATAAAAAAGCATGACGCTTATATGTCAGGAATTTTATATGTTTAATTTCAGACTTACAATTTGTACTAAAAGTTATAGAGTCAGCATCATAAAGCATAGAAGAGGCCCTTCGTCCCATCGGTCTGCACCAATCTATCTACACTAATCCCACTTTCCAGCACTTGGCCCATAGCCTTAAGTGATATAACATTTCAAGTATTCATGCATGTACTTTTTAAAAGGTTATGAGGTTTCCCACTTCCACTGCCTCCCAGGCAGTGCATTCTGACCTCTGGATTACTTTTCAGCAACATAACCACTATATTGCCCTATCCATAGCATAATATTCCTGCATTATTTCTCAACACCAACAAATGAGCTTTCTAGAGCATTCTCGTTTTAGCTCTGTGATATTTTCCTTAATCAAAACTGCTACCTAGTCACTATTGTTTTTCCTATCTTCCTGACTCAGGAATATTAATCATCATGATATAATATTCCCTCATAGCTACATTCAGCTGCAGGTCACCTACCTTATTAACCACACTTTGTAAGTTTATACATGTGCACTTCAAAACTTAATTTCGTTTGTGCATGATTTTCTTGTGCACCAATAGCTATTTTTAAAAGGGCTTTAAATGTTCAAACTCATCTTGTGAGCTAATAGTGAAAGAAAATATAGTATTAAGGTGCAACAATAAGGGCAAACCAAATTAGATTAAAAGGGTATTGACAAGCAGACTCCATACCTGGCAATTTCTTTTAAATATCCATTCAAGGATTTTGATACAGCAACAGTGAAGAAGGAACAGCAAAACAGTTCCTAGACAGAATGGTGATTGACTTGAAGGGGAACTTGCAAGTGATAGTGTTCCCACGCATCTGCTCCCTCATGATTCTATGGGGTAGCGTTCACAGGACTCGAAGCTGCATCTTGGGTGAGATAGTTAAGTGCATCTTGTAGATGGTACATATTGCTGCCATCATGCATTGACGGTGGAGTGAATATTCCCAGGTGGGATGCCATTCATGCAAGTTGCTTTATTCTGGGCATTCTAACACAAGTACTGTTGGAGATTCACCCATCTAGCCAAATGGAGACTATTCCATTCCAGTCCTAACTTATGCCTTGTGTTGAGTTACTGCAGAATTCCTCGTCCCTGATTCATTGTTGTAGCCAGTGTATATAAGTGGCTTGTCGAGTTCTGTTTTCAGGCACCATTTTGATAAATCAATAATAGGTACAGCAGAATTCACTGCAAACCTTCAAGAGGAGATGATCTTAGAGTACAGAATGGTAGGCCAATATGCATGGAATTTTGAATAAGAGGTGATATTGCTGAAAGACACAAGGTCCTGAGACTGAAGAGGACGGATATCCAGAGGACATCAAGCAGGGTCAGGTAAAGGGAAAATTGTGTCTGACTAATTTATTAGAGCTTTTCCAGAATGGATATAGGGGAACTAGTCAAACTGTTTTAGTTAGACTTCAACAAATGTTCAACAAGGTACCTTACAAAAGGTTAAGTCATTAGGTAAGAGCCCACTGTGTTGGAGGCAGTATATTGACAGATGGGTAGAAAATAGCAAGTAGGAATTAGGGGTTCTTTTTCAGGTTGGCAATCTGTGACCACTTGGATTCTACAGCAATCAATCAGTTCTGGGACCACAACTACTTACAATATATATTAATGACTTGGAGAAAAGAAACAAATGCATTGTAGCCAAATTTGCAGATGACACAAAAATAGATGGAAAGGCAATTTGAGAGAGGGATACAAATAGTTTACAGAGAAATACTGAAGGGTAAGTGAGTGGGTAAAAAGTTGGTAAATGAAGTACTATGTGGGAAATTATAAAGTTGCTCATTTTGGAAGGGAAAACGAAATAACAGTATTATTCAAATGGAGAAAACCTGCAGAAAGCTGCAGCACAAAGGGACTCAGGGTACATGTGCATGAAACACAGAAAACTTGTAATCAGAAGACTAACGGAACGTTGGCCTTTATTTCAAGGGGGTTGGAGTATAAGACTCGGGAAGTCTTACTGTTGAGATCACAACTAGAGTACTTAAGCAGTTGCAGTCCCCTTCTTCAGGGAAGGGTAACCAGATATCCTAAATAAATCTAGTCCCATTTGCCAGCATTTGGCCTTTAAGCCTCTAAACCCTTCCAATCCATATACCCATCCAGATGTCTTTTAAATATTGTGATTGTATCAGCCTCCATCACTTCGTCGAGTAGCTCATTCCATTCAAGCACCACCCTCCGTGTGAAGAAGTTGCCCCTCAGGTCCCTTTTAAATTTTTCCCCTCTCACCTTAAACTTATGCCCTCCAGTTTGCATTCCCCCACCCTGGAGAAAAGACCGTGTCTATTTACCCTATCCATACCCTTTATGATTTTGTAAACCTCTATAAGGTCACCCCTTAGCCTCCAACACTCCAGAGAAAATAGCCCCAGTCTGTTCAGCCTCTCCCTACAGCTCAAACCCTCCAAACCCTGGCAGTATCCCTGCAAGGCTTTTCTGAACCCTTTCAAGTTTCACAACATCCTTCTTATGGCACGGAGATCAGAGTTGCATGCAGTATTTATGAGCAAAGGCAAACAAGGTTGGGACTCTACTCATTGGAATTTAGGAGTGGTGATCTCATTGAAAAATACAGGATTCTTAAGGGGTTAGACTAAATGCTGAGAGGATGTATCCCCTCATGGGAGAGTCCAGGATAAGACGCCATATACTCAGAACAAAGGGGTGCCAATTTACAAGTGGGATAAGGAGGAATTTCTTCTGACAGTCGAGTATCTTCAGAGTTTCTTACCAGACAGAGTTGTGGGAGCAGAATCCTTGTGTACATTTAATGCTGAAGTAGACAGATTCTGGATCAGTGGGGCAATCAAGGGCTTTAGGGAAAAGCTGGAAAGTGGACATGAGGAATGCCTGCTCAGCCATGATCCTATTGAATAGCAAAGCATATAGAACATAGAACATTACAGCGCAGTACAGGCCCTTCGGCCCTCGATGTTGCGCCGACCTGTGAAACCAATCTGAAGCCCATCTAACCTAAACTATTCCATTATCATCCATATGTTTATCCAATGACCATTTAAATGCCCTTAAAGTTGGCGAGTCAACTATTTTTGCAGGCAGGGCATTCCACGCCCTTACTACTCTAGCAGGCTCAAGGACCAAATGAACAAACAAAGGTTAGGGCAATATTATCAGAAAAGTGTTGCTAATGTGTTGAATTTCTCTTCCCCTCAAGGTAGCAGTGGCTCTTTTATTCAAAGCTGAGCTGGATAGATGCGTGAAGGACAAACGTAGTGGGGTGGGGAGTGATGTGGACCGGAAGTGGAGGTGAGACGAGAACCAAGATCAGACAAGACTTTATTGAATGGAGGAGCAGGTCTAAAGGGTGCTGCTGAGTCCTCTATTATTCAGCAGTTGTTGCTTTTTAGGGTAGGGACAGGCGAGAGGAATTTCTCGTCCGAGCTGGAGCTGGATGTTTAGTTGCTTTAAGCCTTTCCTATTCGGTGACATAACTGCTGGTGGATGTGAGACAGGATATCTAGTTGCACCGTTGGATGGAAGATGCAGCAGTATGGTATCAATGAGAGCGAAGTCGATGCTCGACCATCAAACTTGACTCAGCCAAAAGTTTAAAGTCTGGGAATAAAAGACACCCGGGCGGCGAAGAGCGAACGCTTCCGATTATCGGGTTAAGGGAGCAGCCAACCCACCGCTGTAAAGGCGACAATCCCTTCCCCCCGCACGCAGACCCTCCCTAGGCCCTGGCCTCCCACACTCACCGTAACTCCACAGTCAAACTCTTGGCGATCACTCCCAGGACTCACCGACAGGCCACCCCACATGAATCCAACGAAGAACGCGATTGGAAGACAACGTCCAGTACACTAACCAATCGCCAGGTAGGATCAACCGACAAAGCGTCACCCCGTCCGTTCACCAATCCGACTGTCGCTTGCTGAAGGCGTTTGGGAGGGATGGGCGAGTGGCCAACGGCTGTTCGGGGAGTCACGTGGTCAGTTGCCGGCGTCGGGCGGTTGCTGCAGCAACGGTGACGGGAAGCGGCGGTTGCAGAGAGCGAGTAGTATCCCGATTCTCGGAGCTCAGGTAGGTGTACGCTTCCCGTGGGATGGAGGAAAGGCCGGGCTGAACCTAAGCTGCCCTGCTGCGATATGCACCATCTTGGTGGGTGGGCTTCTGCACAGAGGCCTGTGTATTTCCGGTTGCCTCCAACATTGTGGGGATGAGGAGAGGGGCCTCTGGTTACAGACACACATACCTCCGTTTGATTGGCGGTAGTTAACCCAGGCGTGACCCGTCAAGAGGATAATCTTAGTATTGATAAGTGGGGCGGGAAACTTCTGTAAATAAAAATAATCTGTATCAAGTGAAGGGATTGTGGCTGTTCCTTAAAGTGGGATTTTTCTTGGAAAGGAAACCCAGCACCCAGCACAGCCTCTGATGGCCACAGTGGCTTCCTGCGCCCTATCAATGAATGAATTGTGCATATTTTGTCATTTAGAAGTTGTTAATAGCGAGGACTTCAATCTTGATTGGGTGATATGATGTAAACTTATTTGAAAGTGCATGTTGAGTGAAATATATCAAAACAGGGCTATTCCTTAAATTAAAGCAGTGAATCTGGATTAGACAATGGGTTGCTGTCATGTGGATTGCTATGTAATGTATAATGGTTTAGCAGCGAAGAATCTGGCATAGATTTATTAAAGATTTTTCAATATTTAGAAAAACATTTACGGTTGTGCAAGTATCTTGCTGTACCCGAATATTAATCTTTTGTTATTCATGAGAAGTCACATGACACCAGGTTCGACAAGTGAAGAAGGGGCAGCACTTCAAAAGCTTGTGATTTCAAATAAACCTGTTGGACTATAACCTGGTTCAGAG